AACAAACTAACCAATCAACCAAGTAACCAATCAACCAACTAACTAATTAATCTACCAAATAACTAACCAATCAACCAACAAGCCAACCGACCAATCAAAAATGCCTTCCATATATGATACAGTGTTAATAATCACAGAGAATAAACTTCATTACTCAAAACGAAGTTCTATAAATGCATGCGTTCATTTGAAATCGTACCAACAATAATAATAATAAGAAGAAGAAGAAGAAGAAGAAGGAGAGAAAGAAGAAGAAGAAGAAGAAGAAGAAGAAGAAGAAGAAGAAGAAGAAGAAGAAGAAGAAGAAGAGGAAGAATAAGAAAATCAACAACAACAATAATAATAACATTAATGTTAATAAAAACAACAATAAGAAGAATTACTAACGTGCAGCCCCATGTGGTCGTTTTGACAACAATTCTGACGTCATCATCGGAGGCATCAAGAGGGAGTCCATCTTTGAGCCAAGTGTATGTGGGTAGGGGGGTCCCTGTAATGTCACACACCATGGTGGCAGTCCCTCCCTTAACTTTTGTCACGTTTCTCATTGGTCGGTCTAGTTGTAAGCGTGGCGCTGTCAAAATTTAATTGGTTGTGGTTGTTTTGGTAAAACTTGATTGGTTGTTGATGTTTTTTGTTTACCTGAAATTTGATTGGCTGATCGGATTTCGTTGTTGTGAATTTGACGAAACTTGATTTGTTGATATTTTGAATCGGATGAGTTGTTATTGGTGGTTGTTTTGAATAATTTGACAAAGGAATGTGATATATTGAAAGAGAAAAAGGGAGAGAGAGAGAGAAAAAAGAGAAAGTATAAATATATATATATATATATATAGGCTGAAAGGGGACCATAATTATTGCAATATTTGATAAAATCTACCGAATTTTTTGCTTTTTAAAATTTACGATTGAGTTTTTCAATATTTCTAACAGTAACTTTGTAATTATCACTCAATTTATTAAAATTAATTATAAAATTGTTGGTGTTCATGGTGAAGGGTGTATGGGTCATATTTCGATTTTACTCATCATCAGCGCTTATATAGAGATATTTCAAAGTTTTACTCTTCATCATAAACACTAATTTTCAAAAGTTATAAATTCGGTAGATTTTATCAAATATTGCATAAATATATCTACATATAAAAAGAGAGAAAGACGAAGATGTAGCAGAAACTTAGATTGCAATAGTAGATAAGGTTCGATCATTGATATGATTGTCGTTCTTATAGTTGTTGATGTCACAGATGACGTGTTGAGGTTGTTGTTGTTATTGATGTTGTTGTTGCTGCAGTTGTTGTTGATGATGTTGATGTTGTTGTTGCTGTTGTTGTTGATGTGATGTGTTCTTTCAGTAAATTATTTACTTCTCTGTGTTACATTAGGTTATGGATTGCTATATTTAAGATTGCATCGGAGATATTTCTCTTTTACTTCATCTCTCTCTCTCTCTCACTGTTTCTTTCTCTCTCTCTCTCTCTGTTTCTCTCTCTCTCTGTTTCTCTCTCTCTCTCTTTGTCTCTCTCACTCCACTCACTGTCTTTCTCTCTTTGTATGTCTCTTTCTCATTTTGTCTCCGTTTTTCCATTTGTCTTGTCTCTATCTTGTCTCTCTCTCTCTCTCTCTATCTTTTCTCTCTCTCTCTCTCTCTCTCTATCTCTCTATCTCTTTCTCTCTTTGTATGTCTCTTTCTCAATTTCTCAATTTGTCTCCGTTTTTCAATTTGTCCTGTCTCTATCTTTTCTTTCTATTTCTCTCTCTTTCTCTCTCTCTCTCTCTCTTGTATGTCTCTTTCTCTCTTTGCCTCCGTTTCTTCATTTGTCATCTTTCTACATATTTCCAATAACTATCACTGATGTTATTAATGGCATCGTTATTTATGTACCGCAGCGCATGCTGTACACCGTGTTAAACGTTCGCAGGCATATCGCATTTCAATGAGAGAGAGCCAGCAAACCAACAAACAACAGATTGGAAATATTTACAAAATGAAAATA